CTGTTCCCACTTTGAGTCCCTCAGCAATGATTGTCAGAGCTACCTGCACAAACAAATGGTCGTTTTTGAGACCTGCATTTACTTTGACAGTCTGTTATGTTACACTAAAGCGCATTCACAAACAATCGTCTTTTTGTCAAACTGTACAGGCTTGCATTCATGATTGTATTCGGAGATGCACTCAAAACAATCGAGTCTTAAGACCTGGCAAAATGAACTGGCTACGCCGCTGGTACCACAGGAAATACCGTTTAACTCGTGCATGCAGTGTCTGATGGTCACAAAACTGAATGGCTACATCAACCAGAGTCCTGCCAGTACCCTCGACATTCGTGAAGATGCGAGGGCCCGATCAATGCTGCTTGCAGCTTTAATTAGGGCCGAGCACCGACGTAGTCGGAGCGGAGGACCTATTGTTATTCGAATGTTTATTATTATTATTCTACAAGTTTCGTCGCAAAAAGGAGGTGCTTGGGATACTGGAAAACTTCTGAAATTTGGCACGCAAGCCAGAATTTGCGAAAACTGCAATCTGATTGGGGTGTCCAGCTGCGTTTAGAAATATTGGCTCGATAGAGTCCCCTATTGAGTAGCCCCAACACTGGGTTTCACCTAGCTGTATGAATTGTGGTAGGTATGTGGATCGTGATGGGCCGTACAAAAAATCCTCTTGGAATTTTTCTCTAAACCAAACAGGAAGTCGGCCATTTTGACTTTTATGACGTTTCTGGACCGTTTCAAGGCGTCGTACTTTAACGAACTCCTCCTAGAGATTTGACCCGATTGACTTCAGATTTTGTCAGTATGCTTTTGAGACCGTGGCAGTGAAAAGTTACTCAAAGATCAAAAAGTTATCAAACTATGTATCCGTGGCGTGGCGTCAAAAGAGAAGTGCTCGGGAAAGTGCTCGGGGGCCAGCGTGTTTGTTCTCAGTCGGTGTGAACAAACTTCACCCCGAGCCAATGGAGCCTTTCCAAGTTTCATGTGGGGGACAAAGTACACAACCTGAATTCACTCAAGGCCGCTGAGCCTCGGCGCGGTCACCGTTCGCCGCGAAACAGGAAGTTGTTGTAACTCGGCCATACATTGTCGAATCTGCTCCAAATCTCTCACATGTCATAACATACTGAACCGGAACACATCTATAAGACAATTTAGAATCATAGTAATAGCGCCACCTAGTGGCAACTGGAAGTTGTAAGTTGTGTACTTTGACATCCTGCTCCTCACAGATTAATCAGATCCCTCTCAAATGTTGTCAGAACAGCCTTAAGACCTTGATAATGCTTCATTGTGAAGATTGTAAGAAGTTGTTGAAGGGCGGCGACGTGGTGGCTTGGCAAATTTCGATCCTTCGCCATGAACGAATGAACTGATGCAACTCAACTCCACATCATCAGATCTTTACCAGATTTCACATGTTTGATTATACTCCAGGCCTGAAGACATCTGCAGGCCAATTTTGAATCACAGTCGTAGCGCCACCTACTGGTAACAGGAAGTTAAAGTCTTTATACTTTGGCTTGTTTCTCTTAGTAAGTAAATCAAATCAAATCAACATGAAATTACTTCCACACAAATGTAAGAAGTTCTTAATACCAGTTCATGAAGCTTTTGATGTTTCGTCGAATGCCGTTGCCGTGGCGACGCAGTCTTTGCCATGAAAAACGAAGGTAATTTTGAGAGGCTAAAAATGCTCGAAACATAAGCAAACTTAGCAAACAGATTTAAAGCCCAAAATGTAGTTATATAATATGATTTTATTGGTTCAGAGTGGCAAATCGGCTCAATAGCGCCCCCTACAAAATGTCGACGGAGCAGCCCTCGCTGTACGTTTCACCTTGATTTACAAAATTTGGTAGGCACATGTATCACATGTGGACTTAAAATAAAGTCTCTAAACCCAACCGGAAGTCAGCCATTTTGAATTTTGTATGAATTTCTCGTGTTTTTTTTTTCCATTTCCAGGTGCTGTACTACGAACTCCTCCTAGGGAATTAATCCGATCAGCTTAGAATTTGGTCAGAACAATCTAAAGACCTTAGCGATTAACAGTTACTAAAAGCTTTAGGTTTCATCGAACGACGTGGATATGGTGTGATGGCCATTTTACATGGTTCGCCATCATCCATCAAGCTGTTGTAACTCGACTGTACTTTGTCAAAACTGTCCCAAAGTTGACATGCTTGTTGACTGTCATGGCTTTAGGACTTCTGCATGCCAATATTAACTCATAGTCATAGCGCCACCTACTGATAAGCACAGACGTAAGCAGGATTCTATAATTACAGCGGCCCAAACACTGAACTTATTGAAAGGGTTTGTGGGCACACCATGAGAAAAAGACATCTCTGATCTAAATGTGCAAACTAAGACGCTTGGAGAGCAAAAGTTAGATAACAGTGGATTTTCAAACCATGTCAGTGGGCATTAGTATAAATGATTTGTCCAGAGCTTCTTCGTGACAATCAGGTTAAACGTTACAATGAATGCTTCACACTACAATCTAAAGTTACAGAAGAACTTAAAATGAAAACAGTGTTAAATTAAAGTGTTCAAGTAACAGCAAATGGCACTACTGTTTTGTTAACTTTCATGTAAGTCCAAATACAATCAGCAGGACACTGCAGGGAGTTGAACCCCATCCCAGTAAACTGACAGTCTGTTATGTTACAAACACTGAAGCACATTCACGCACATTCATTTTCTTAATGATCTTAACAGGCTTACATTTGTGATTGTATCGGATGTACACTCAAACCATTTCAGGCTTAAGACCTGGCAACATGATCTTGCTACGCTGCTGGTCGACGCAGGAAATATCATCTAACTCGTGGATGCAGTGTATGACGGTCACAGAAATGCATGGCCAGAGTCCTGCTAGTACCCTTGACGTGCGTGAAGTTGCGAGGGCCCGATCAATGCTGCTCGCAGCTTTAATTATCATTATTATTCCCAATATCACTAAGAATAATAATTTTTCTTAGTCAGCCTTACTGATTAAGAAAAAAATCTGTAAGGCTGATTTATACAAAATATTTTTTGTATCTTTCTAGATAAAAGATACAAATAAATAGCAGTAATAATACAAATGTTCCTACCAAATTTCATACATCTAGGTTAAACATACTGCGAGGGCTGCTTCGTCAAAATTTTGTAGGGGGTGCTATTGAGCCGATTTGCCACTCTGAACCAATACAATCATATTATATAACTACATTTTGGGCTTTAAATCTGTGTGCCAAGTTTGCTTATGTTTCAAGCATTTTTAGCCTCTGAAAATTAGCTTCGTTTTTCACGGCGAAGACTGCATCGCCACGGCAACGGCGTTCGACGAAACATCAAAAGCTTCATGAACTGGCATTATGAACTTCTTATATTTGTGTGGAACTAATTTGATATCGATTTGATTTACCTACTAAGAGAAACAAGCCAAAGTATAAAGACTTTAACTGACTGTTACCAGTAGGTGGCGCTATGACTATGATTCAAAATTGGCCTGCAGATGTCTTCAAGACTGGAGTCTAATCAAACATGTGAAATCTGGTAAAGATCTGATGATGTGGAGTCGAGTTACATCAGTTTATTTCTTCATGGCGAAGGATCGAAATTCTCTGAGCTGCCACGTCGCCGCCCTTCAACAACTTCTTACAACCTTCACAATGAAGCATTATCAAGGTCTTAAGGCTGTTCTGACAACATTTTACAGGGATCTGATTAATCTGTGAGGAGCAGAATGTCAAAGTACACAACTTACAACTTCCGGTTGCCACTAGGTGCCGCTATTACTATGATTCTAAATTGTCTTATAGATGTGTTCCGGGTCAGGATATTATGATATATGAGAGATTTGGAGCAGATTCGACAATGTACGGTCGAATTACAACAACTTCCTGTTTCGCGGCGAATGGTGTTTTTTGACGCCACGCCACGGATACATAGTTCGATAACTTTTTGATCTTTGAGTAACTTTTCACTGCCAAGGTCTCAAGAGCATACTGACCGAATCTGAAGTCAATCGGGTCAACTCTCTGGGAGGAGTTCGTTAAAGTATGACACCTTGAAATGGTCAAAAAATGTCATAAAAGTCAAAATGGCCGACTTCCTGTTTGGTTTAATGAAAAACTCCAAGAGGATTTTTTGTGCGTCTCATCACGATCCACATTCCTACCAAATTTCATACAGCTAGGTGAAACCCGGTGTTGGGGCTACTCAATAGGTGGCGCTATCGAGCCAATATTTCATAACCCAATCAGACAGCAATTTTCGCAAATTCTGGCTTGCGTGCCAAATTTCGACATTTTGCCAGTATCCCAAGCACCTCCTTTTTGCGACGAAACAGGTACGATAATAATAATAATAATAATAATAATAAACAATCGAAAAACAATAGGTCCTCCGTTCCGACTATGTCGGTGCTCGGGCCCTAAAAAGTTACAGAAAGATTACACAGGGAACCAGACTGCAAACAGAGGATCATGTTACATAAGCCTCTGTAAGCTGTGGTTGCATATTTCACGAGGATGTTTTTTGAACACTGATGATCATCTATAGGATAATTATAAGAAGGACGAATGTGTCATAATTACACATCCTGCATTTATTCTTTTTGTGATATTTTCTTATATTTCTATTACTTTTTATTTATCATCTAAGTTAGTTTTATTTAACATACTGTATATTCTTCTTCTAAGTCTTTGTTTATTCAGTAAAAAAGAAAGAAAATAACTTTAAGTAAAGAGGTACAAATAAAACACTAAAGTATGGTTTCCATGTTGTACTACCTTGCCATTTGCAAGGTCCTTCATCATTTCAAGTACTAGTTGTAAAAAGAAATGTTATTTCTTGTTTCTATTATCTTATATTATCTTAGATCAAAGCTAGTTTTTTTAAAATCATAATAGTTCTATTTTCTCACTGATTGTTCTGCAGCTACACAGTTTGGCTTTGGTAACTTATGTATATGATATTAGTGAAGTTCAACAGGAAGAGAGTCCTACCATTATACGTTACTCTGGGTTTGGTTAAACACAAGACCAGGTGAAGATCCATCTCATCCGAGGATACAAACTTGGAACACACAGGGCACTTGAAGCCTGGAAGAAAGAAAGGAAGCACACACACACACACACACACAATGTCAGAAGAATGATACGCTGAGGGAATCGTCCTAATCATTAAGTTCTCAGGTGGTCTGCTTTTCTCTGCAGCACCATGTATCCTGGTGTTTTAGGACTGCTTTTTCAGTGACCACTTGCCAGTTTGCCCAGTTCCATCTAGCCTCAGAAGCTATTGATGCAAACTGCCCAGTTGTATTTACTTAGTATGTACGTGTATTTATTGCAAACAAATGGGAAACACAACACATCACTATCTGTGGATGTAACCCAGGAAAGCCTTGCCCTCCCAGATAAAACTGTTACCAGCAGCTAATGTTATAGTAAGGGGTCACTATTAAACATAACAGGAAAACCAGCCTGATTATCATGGCTATGTTATAGTCCTTAAGATTTTCTATACTATATTTCTATACTACCCATGAATGTCTTCAGAGTCTGACGTTGCCACAGAGTATTCAAATAGTGTCAACTCATCTGTCAGCCGGTCCCATATTACATTGGTGTAATGCAGACATCTGCCTATTCTTTACAACACATTTTAAAACACAATACAAAGCAATGCTTGCCCTCGTATTGCAGTTTGCAGTGTCCTCTGAACAGTTTTTGACTACTACCATTTGGTGAGTAGGCAACTTTGCATCAAGGCTGACAGACATGAGTACAGAGGCCGACTGCTGCTAAAACAAGGCTGATGAGAGGGAGGTTTGCTGCTGTAAAACCAACACAGGAATCTGAGAGATGCTTAAACTCTCCATAGAGCTCAGGTGTTTATCACTGTGATCATTCTCTATGGTTCAGTCTTCAAGTATTATTCCACATTACATTAACAATTTGATCCACTGTTAAAGTAAAAATATCACAGTGGAGCTTTAAGGATTCCAATTTAGTAACAGTTTTCACCAGGTTGGCAATCCCCTTGATTTGTTGACCAATATTTGAAAATTGCACCTAACAGCCAGATGCCCCTTTTCATTTCACATTAAAGATGTGCTTCATATGTATTACCAGAGAGCATGAACAGGAATAGTAGCAGCACAGCTAAGCACCAATCAGTGAGAAGTAGATGTATTTCTATAAAAGGTCACTGATAACTTAACAGATGATCCAAACATTATCCCCCCTAAATGTTTCCAGTTCCATGCTGTACCCAGCATGCAGTTCGGCGGTGAAATTTTATAAATGTACAATTATTAGTGTTACAAATTGTTTGTGTCACAAACTATTGTGTCGTGGTGTTTTGCCATGTTAAAGAGTGTTAGTTGTGGGTTGTTAATTGTTGTTATAAAGTTATAACCATGACTAGGGTTCTGTCTCAATACACTTAAGACAACTAGCTCCGACCATAGTGCTATCTGCTTGCTGCCTGTTGAAGAGCGACAGAAGTTCTTTCAGCTATGAAGGTATATGAAAAATTCATATCATATGGGAAATTAAAACTGGTATACCGCCCAGCCCTAGTGTGAGGCTGTGATGACTCATCCAGTAAACTGGATGTTCTCTGAAGGAAGTGAAATTGGCCTTTTGTTTTGTCCTAATGCATGTCTGTCTGAGGTCATACCTGCTCTTGCTAGCATTAAACCTCTGTCCTCTTAAAGTATATTTCTCCTAAAATCACAAATATGAGATGGAATTAAAGCTGCAAGCAGCGATGAACGGGCCCTCGCACCTTCCCGCGTCTCGGGGGTACTGGCGGGACGCCGGCAGAAGCGGCCATAAATATCTGCGACCATCAGACAGCGTGCCCACAAGTTAGACATATTTTTAATGCTTGGACTGTGTGACGCTGGAAATTATGTAGTGCAAATATTCCACCAGTTCCTGTATCCACTTTGTGGCGCTAGAGAACACGCGCAAACATGCATTGTGTTGCTCTACATCAAGTATAGACAACATCATGTAAATGTCATATAAATCGGATTCAGTTTGTCACATAATTTTGGCAATTTGAAAGGGTCAAGCAAAAAGGCCATATGAAATATTTATTTCCATCACCTATGACACCTGCGCAAAGTTCCAAGGCTTGTTGAGCATCCTAAGTCACAGAAAAATAAGCTTCATTTTTCATGGCGAATGACGCGTTGCCACGGCAACAGCGTTTAACGACAACTCACAATATTCATGATGAAGCATTATCAATGTCTTACGGCTTAGCTTAACAAATTTGAGACTGATCTGGGCAACTTCCTAGTCGGAGTACATCAAAGTATAAAACCTGTCATTTCCGTTTGCCAGTAGGTGGCGCTATGACTTTGTGAAAATGTTGCCATTGAAATGTGCTCAGGCCTGGACCTGCATCATGCATAACAATTTTGAGGCAGATTGAATAAAGGACCTTGGAGTTACAACAACTTCCTCTTTCATGGCGAACAGCACGAAATGTGCGTGACATGGGCGCCACATAAAATGAAGGTCGTTCAATGTCAGTAGACCATTTTAGTAACTTTTCATCATTAATATCTTTCGATCATCCTAACCAAATTTGAAGTTGATCGCATGAATTCTGTGGGAGGAGTTCGTTAAAGTACAACGTCTGAAAATGATGAAAATTGACAAAAAAGCCAAAAATGGCTTAACTACTGTATCGCTCCCAAGTAGTTGAATGGAATGAAAATTGTAGGGTACGTAACAATATACGATGTGCACATATGAGACAAATTTTGCGATTATAGGTTAGATGGTTTTGAAGTTATGAGTGTTGAAAAACAAAGCCACGCCTTATAAAGTTCATTGGTCCATATCTTCTAAACGTAATGAGATATCAAACATCTTTTGATAGAATGTTATTATATAGATCCAATACTGATCCACAGCAAATTTAGTAGCAATTGGACTCAACGTGTAGGAGGAGGTTGCAAAAATTTGTTTTTCAGAAAATTCAAAATTGCGGAAAATTTTGGGAGGCGGAGCTTAGGGGTCCAAGAGGCTTTTTTGTAGACCTCATTTGGTGGCATGCCTGTGTAAAATTTCAAGTTAATTGGACATACTGGATGAGGGGGCTAAATTCTAGGGGGCGCTAGCGAGCAATATTTTCATGTTCGAGCATGGGACCCATAAAATATCAAATTTTTCAGCAGTCCTGATATTCTCGCCAAATATCGGGACGTTGGGGACATGATAAAGCCCCCAAAAAGGCGTTTCATTCGAGAGAATAATAATAATAATAATAATTAAAGCTGCGAGCAGCATTGATCGGGCCCTCGCAACTTCACGCACGTCGAGGGTACTAGCAGGACTCTGGCCATGCATTTCTGTGACCGTCATACACTGCGTGCACGAGTTAAACGGTATTTTCCAGTACTGGCAGGACTCTGGGTGACGCGGCCATGAATTTCTGTGACCATCACACTCTGCGTGCACGAGTGAGATATTTCCTGCGTCGACCAGCAGCGTAGCAAGATCATGTTGCCAGGTCTTAAGCCTCAAATGTTTTGAGTGTACATCCGATACAATCATAAATGTAAGCCTGTTAAGATCATTAAGAAAATAAATGTGTGTGAATGCGCTTCAGTGTTTGTAACATAACAGACTGTCAGTTTACTAGGATGGGGTTCAACTCCCTGCAGTGTCCTGCTGATTGTATTTGGACTTACATGAAAGTTAACAAAACGGTAGTGCCATTTGCTGTTACTTGAACACTTTAATTTAACACTGTTTTCATTTTAAGTTCTTCTGTAACTTTAGATTGTAGTGTGAAGCATTCATTGTAACATTTTACCTGATTGTCATGAAGAAGCTCTGGACAGATCATTTATACTAATGCCCATGGACATGGGTTGAGAATCCACTGTTATCTAACTTTTGCTCTCCAAGCATCTTAGTTTGCACATATTTAGATGAGAGAAGTCTTTTTCTCATGGTGTGCCCACAAACCCTTTCAATAAGTTCAGTGTTTGGGCCGCTGTAATTATAGAATCCTGCTTACGTCCGTGCTTATCAGTAGGTGGCGCTATGACTATGAGTTAATATTGGCATGCAGAAGTCCTAAAGCCATGACAGTCAACAAGCATGTCAAGTTTCGGACAGTTTTGACAAAGTACAGTCGAGTTACAACAGCTTGATGGATGATGGTGAACCATGTAAAATGGCCGTCACACCATATCCACGTCGTTTGATGAAACTTAAAGCTTTTAGTAACTTTTAATCGCTGAGGTCTTTAGATTGTTCTGACCAAATTCTAAGCTGATCGGATTAATTCCCTAGGAGGAGTTCATAGTACAGCACCTGGAAATGGAAAAAAAACACGAGAAATTCATACAAAATTCAAAATGGCTGACTTCCGGTTGGGTTTAGAGCATGGTCCCAAAAGACTTTATTTTAAGTCCACATGTGATACATGTGCCTACCAAATTTTGTAAATCTATGTGAAACGTACAGCGAGGGCTGCTTTGTCGAAATTTTGTAGGGGGTGCTATTGAGCCGATTTGCCACTCTGAACCAATAAAATCATATTATATAACTACATTTTGGGCTTTAAATGTGTATGCCAAGTTTGCTTATGTTTCGAGCATTTTTAGCCTCTCAAAATGACCGTTGTTAACGGCGAAGACTGCATCGCCACGGCAACGGTGTTCGACGAAACATCAAAAGCTTCATGAACTGGCATTATGAACTTCTTATATTTGTGTGGAACTAATTTGATATTGATTTGATTTACCTACTAAGAGAAACAAGCCAAAGTATAAAGACTTTAACTGACTGTTACCAGTAGGTGGCGCTATGACTATGATTCAAAATTGGCCTGCAGATGTCTTCAAGACTGGAGTCTAATCAAACATGTGAAATCTGGTAAAGATCTGATGTGGAGTCGAGTTACACCAGTTTATTTCTTCATGGCGAAGGATCGAAATTCGCTGAGCCGCCACGTCGCCGCCCTTCAACAACTTCTTACAATCTTCCCAATGAAGCATTATCAAGGCCTTAAGGCTTTTCTGACAACATTTGAGAGGGATCTGATTAATCTGTGAGGAGCAGGATGT